GACCTTCGAAAACTTTCTGGCATTCGGCAAGTTTGGCCGCGCGGTGACCTTTCGCCTCTACGAAAGGAACTTGACACGCAAAGTTCAGCCACGATAATTCTGCTCCAACAAGTTCCCTCTCACCTTTCTCCGCGTCCACGGCGAACTACACGCGTGCACCATTAACCCTTCGCGATCCTGACAAGGGGACCTTATGGCAGTGAAGATCGCTTTTGAAACGGTAGTAGGTACAAGTTATACCTACTATCGGAAAACTATAAAGGGTTTCTTCAAAATGGGCCTTCGTTTTCCAGATATTTTCATTTAAGGGGTAAGACCAGTGTAAAAACCTGAAATAAAGCGTCTTTTTGCGAGTTTTTTTTAGATGGATGGAAAAGTAAGAATATTCAAGAATGTTATTAACCATATCGTCAAGTGTTAGAAAAAAAATATTTATTGAAAAATAGCGCAAAATAACGATGCTGGAGCCATTCTCGCGAGGCGTGTTGAATTTGAGGTGCTCTGCGACATGCAGTCTAACTGACGCCTTTGTATCTGGAAAAAACAAAAAATTTTCTCTTAATCTATATGAGTATAGCTAGAGAAATTCGTAGGGGATTTTTGAAACATTAATTTTTGTGTCATTGGCGAGCATTTGAAGTAGAAAGTTCAATTTTGTATACAAAATGAGGCAATCATTTGTCAATAAATAATGTTAAAATTAACTTATCGAAAATCCCCTACGTATTTCTCTAGCTATACTCATGTAGATTAAGAGAAAATTTTTTGTTTTTTTCCAGATACAAACTCAGTTACACTGCGTGCCGCAGAACGCCTCAAATTCAACACGCTTTGCGAGAATGATGTCGTCATTTTGCACTATTTTTGAATAAATATTCTTTTTTAAACATTTAATGACGTGGTTAATAACATTCTTGAATATTATTATCCTCTTACTTTTCCATCCATCCAAAAATATCGGAAAAAACGATTTATTTTAGGTTTTTACAGTGGTCTTACCTCTTAAAGTTTGGTACGTATGTGATAAAAGAATTACTTTACTTTGGAAAACAAGATTTGGGTAAGTCCAAATGAAATAAAAAATACAATAGACTGCCCCAAACCAAAAACACAAGAGATCTCTAACACAATCGAACAGAGAGAAATAGAAACAGTAGACTCGAACGTAAAGAAAACAGGAATCAAAAGACCGTTATCTATAATATCAGAAGACACTACGAAACCAGTCAAATTACGTGATTAAAATTTCAAGACTCCAGATTTAGGACCAACGAAAAAACTCCATAAATCATCAAGAAATCAAAACGGCCCTCATCCCCTGCCTTCACCCTTAACAAAATCGATGATATGCTGGAACCAGCCAAAATGTATATACATATATGTATATAGAAGGCCAAGAACACAACCATATACTAAACTATCTCTAAATTAATAGTTTCTAGAAAATGCAATCGAAGCACCAAACCTAATAGAAATATCAAAAGAATATACGACCAATACTCTAGCCTTGACACAAATGCTATAAAAAATTCGCCCTCTACTCAAAGAGCGAAGCATAAAATACAGGATAAACCGACTGCAAAATAACTTAACTCAAGACCCACGAAGAAAACAAAACAAACTGGTTATCGGAAATAGAAAGTGATTCCTTTTAAATATGAATGAAACATACCCAATGGAAAAAACCGAACCACCAACCTGTAACCTATGCAACAAAATCATAACGACCAACCATCTACTATACGAATGTAAAAGATACTACGTCCAAAGACAAAAATACAAGATAACATCACTTATAGTCTTGATGTCACAGAAATATATAGAAAATACCCTGAAATATCTAAAAGAAACCAATATCTATCACAAAATATAACCACACCAAAAGAAGAGTCGTTGCGACGTAAAACATGAATTAAAAAAAAAAAAGATTTGGGTAAGTCACTGTTGTTACTATCTTTTCTTTATTCTTTTAATACAATTTTCAAATGAAAAAATATTTTATTTATTTTTGCATTTAATGTTAATTCCATAAGACGTCAATATTAACTGTAAAACAAAAAATATAGATTTATAATGTAGAAAATAAAAGTACAGTAATAAAATAGCGGTATCTTACAATACTTCCCATTAACAATAAGCTTTTGTAGTCGAATGACCGAGCAGTTGTAATAGTTGTGAAAGTACAGTATGGATGCCCAAAATGAGCTGGTATAGGGACATCCTTGCTATGTATCTAGACATTGTCGTTACTCTAACAATTGTTAGTAATGTAACCGAAAACTATTAGTATCCATAATGGCGGTATGAACGATTAATTCAGAATTCACCTGATAATGACTAATACAGAAAAATATATGCAATACATACTGGTATTTTATTATTGTGTTCCTATTTTCAATATAAAAAAGAAAGGTGGTAAAAATAGGCCCATTTTTTACCATACTGTCAACGAAAAATTTTATTAGAGTATGATTCTATATGTCTATATCTTCTAAAGAATATGAATTATATAATTATTTATCCAGGAAGTGATGGGAAAGTTATTAAAATTAAGCGTAAGGTACTCTCTGAAATACTTACCCAGTTAATGTATTTCTATATTTTCTTCTTCCGTCGATGATCTATCATCAAAGTAGTTATTTAGAAATTCAGCAGGCAAGTTTGTTGTAGTTTGATGTTGAGCATAGTCAAAAAACCATAAGATTACTGTTGCGTGAGAGCAGCAACCAACAACCCGTTCGTCAATTCTACATCCACATGTACATATGCCCAATAATACCTTCTAATCCATTTTTATTTTTATGTAATAATATATACACGAAATATTTAGCAGTGTTCAAATGACGTATATTATGACATATATAATAATAATACATTATTATCATATACAGGGTGGCCTACGTAATTTGTGCAGCTCGATAACTTCCAAAATATGCGCTGCACGAAAAAATTTTGTATACAAAAGTTGCATGGTTTGAAAGGGTACATTTTGTGGTGCATTTATTTTTGTTATAAGTGGAGGCGTTTCGGAGATTTGAAGGTCAACTTCGTTTTTTTAAATAGAATGCTATATTTTTTGTATGAAAATATGGAAGAATATCGAATTTTAAGTAAAAAAGTATTAACCTATATTAGTTCAAAACTTAATAGTTAACGAGTAATTTCACTTTATTTCTTGACAATTTTCTTCACGTAATATCAAATTGGAGACTCAACCTTATCACAGTTTTTTGTAGAACAGTGAAAATAATCAAGGAATAAAGTGAAATTACTCGTTAGTTATTAGGTTTAGGGCTAATAAAGGTTAATACTTTTTTACTCAGAATTCGATATTCTTACATATTTTTATACAACAAATATAGCATTCTATTTAAAAAAACAAAGCTGCCCTTGAAATTTCCGAAACGCCTCCACCTATAACAAAAATAAATGCATTACAAAATGTACCCCTTCAAACCATGTAACTTTTGTATACAACATTTTTTCGTGCAAAGCATATTTTGGAAGTTATCGAGCTGCACAAGTTACGTGGACCAACCTGTATATCAAAATATGTATATTTTTAAATATTTTCAAATCAAATAATATTGCCTTTTAGTCAAACATTTAAACATTGCTCCTTATTGCAAACATAATGTTAGTGCATGGGTTGACGATTCTTACACTTACGTAGCCATAATGTTATAAATTTTATAATATACTTTACACTAAATTATGAAGAATTTACCTTTTATTGTTTCAAATGATTATTTTACTGATAAATCATCTTGCAAACAAAAAAATATTAAAGTATTTAGTGAATATTACGGACGGCATTACGGCGGTTTACGTTTATTTTTAATAATTTTCCCATCGCTTTCCGGACAAATAATTGTGTATTTTATATTCTTTAGGAGATATAGTTAATTAAAGGAGATATATAGTTAATCATACCCTGATAAAATTTTTCGTTGGCAAGATGGTCCAAAATCGGCCTATTTTTACCACCCTCCTTTATATTTTATGTTTTACAATTAATATTGATGTCATATAGGATTAACATTAAATACAAAAATAAATAAAATACTTTTCCATTTCAAAATTGTATTAAAAAGATAAAAAGAAAAGACAGTAACAACAGCGTGGATTTGAACCTACTACAGCTCTTAATCAACTGCCCTATCGACTTATCCAAAACTTGTTCTACAAAATAAATTTAAGTAATTCTTTTATCACGTACGTACAAAACTTTAAATCAAAATATCTCGAAAACGAAGATTGTGAAGAAAACCTTTAGAGTTTTTTGATACTAGGTATGTACTATAACTTGTACCTACTACCGTTTCACAAGCGATTTCCACTTCCGTAAGGTCTCTGGTCCTTCGAGCCAGATCATATGTTGGTTCCCACAAAGTTCGTGAAGCCGATTATTCAGCAAATAGAAAAGAAAACAACACTTATTTGCCAATAAAATAATTTATTAACAATTCGAATATATAAACATAAAACGAATTAACAGAAAATGTCCAGTTCGAATATATGTATGTATAAACGGTTCAATTCGTACAAGTTCTTGGAAATCTGAATCCTTTAAATCTTGAACTGAACATTTTCTATTAACTCGGTTTATGTTTATATATTCAATTTGTTAATAAATTATTGCGTTGGCAAATAAGTGTTGTTTTCTTTTCTATTTACTAAATAATCGGCTTCACGAACTTTGTGGAAGTCCCCTTGCAAGTTGAGTTCGTGATTCCCCGCGCGCGCTCATCGAACTTTTCTCCGTTTCTTTCCGAGATAAACATCGAAAACTCTCATCGGGTGGTTCGAGGACCCGGAGTCGATGTCACCGTGCGCTTTTTTTTCTCGCGTTCCTGAGGTGAGAGCCGAGCGAGCGGAACCTTGACACATCGCGTCCGCGTTCTAGAAATAAACGCGTTCAAGGGAGCAAGCCAAGAAACGTGTCTTCTATGTATTTTGACGCCCTCGTAAATTTTTCACGAGGCAGAAAGTTCATCCGACCATCGCGCGCCAATCGGCTTCGACCACGAGAGTGCCAGCTATAGCACTTGTCTCGATGGAAAAGCGTTTCCGAGTCTTCGGTGGACTGCGAACGCAACGTTTGGTCAGCCTCGCGTTTCATCGGCGTCGAGAATAACTGTTCGCGATGTTAGCAGCGCGGAAAAAGTGTTCGTTAAAAATACGAGCAGTTATATGTATAGGGCGGCCGGGGCAGACGTTGGACGTAGTGGTAGGTCGTGACTCCTCGTGTCACCCTCGAACTCGATCCGCCGCCGAGACTCACCCTCGTCGACCCTCTTTTAATATTCAGTCCTCCGTTCGGCCGTGCATGGTCGACTAGCAGCGATCCCCGGTGTATGTAATTACCGGTTGATCGATAATCGTCGATGACGGTCTCGCTGGTTGCTCGTCGGAACAGTTCTAGCCTGGAAGCGGTCGCGTCGATTTCAGGAAACGAAACGAAACGGTATCAACCATCGTGCTTTCAAGCTCGTCCTTCGATTTTTCCTGCTCTCTTCGTACTCCACGAAGTTTTGGAAACTTCGAATATCGGTCCCCGACGATTTACAGATGGAGTGAAACGTCTCGTCGTTCGTGTTTCCGATCGCTTGTTGCCGTCGAAGGCGTCGACTATGCGGGCGTCGATCTTAACCGAACCGTTTTGTCAGGATCTCGTGCCTGATCCTTGCATTGCTCGTCGTTGTCTAGGAAAGAGTATCGAAGGAGAGAAATCGACGGTTCTCGTGCCATCGCAGAGGAACTCGTCGCGATAATCTATTTTGGATACGTCTGTACATTTCTGGAAGAAAAGATGGATAAATACGAAATGATGGAGGTCGTGGGAGAGGGGAGCTACGGAGTGGTGATGAAGTGCAGACACCGAGAAACTGGTCAGTTCGTGGCTATTAAAAGGTTTCTGGAAACCGAGGAGGACCTCCAGGTGCGGAAAATGGCGTTCCGCGAGATCAGGATGTTGAAGGTACGTCGAGGATTTACGTTAACGGAACTCCAGCTGTCACGGGATCGTCTTTGCAGAAGCTACGTCACGAGAATTTGGTGAACATGATCGAAGTGTTTCGTCGAAGGAAACGATTTTATCTCGTCTTCGAGTATCTGGACCATACTTTGCTGGACGAATTAGAGCGCCTCGGAGGTGGCCTGGGATGGGAAGTATCAAAGAGACACATCTATCAAGTACTTCGGGGTTTAAACTTCTGTCACACCAATAACGTGAGTACGATAGCTCTTTGGAAAGACTCGTTAGAATAGGAACGTTAGAGATGGTGTCAATAAGCCAGTCAAACTCTTCTATTGGGTCGCATATTTACTTACACTAATACTTGTATTAAAGTAGGACATCTTTGGCTTCTTATAACTAATATAATTACTATAAAGATCTTATCACATGATTCTTTTGAGATCAATTTATTTTCTATTTGTTTATTACAGCATAACGGTTACAACAAACGTTATTAAATAAGCAGAAAAACATTTTTTTAGTGTACATAATAAAGTAGAGCAAAGGGTACTTAATCTGACATATTAAATATAATATTTTGGTTGCAATCGTGTAAACTTACGATAAATATGGTTCTAATAAATTTTCAGAATTAGGTATAGATAGTTTAACTATTTGTATTTAAAATCAAACTCCAATATTTAAAATAAGCAGTTCTATCATGCGGGTTTGCCTCGATATAGTTTATTATCGTTGTTTTCATGTACCAAAATGGTCATTCTGCTTTACTACTATTAAGTTAGAATCAATAATTAATAAATCAAAATAAATGTGTCATTTTGAACGAATATAACAGACGTGTTCTAATACTTATACTTACGACCCTCCGTAAGTTTAAACTAATAATTGTTTAATATATGTCAATGTAATTATTTGAAAATTTCAGTAATCATCCATTAGCTCATTATTTTTTAAATGTTTTAAAGGAAAGTTAATTTCCATTTACCAATTTGTACAATTCCATTGTTACATTGTTTCCATTTGTACAATTTGACAGTCCACTTAAGGGTTAAAATACATATGTAGTTTTTGTTGGAAATTGCATGATTCTCGTATGGTAAATCAACTTAAAAATAGTGAAGACTGATTTGTTAAAAACGTTATGCCTCATAACTAAACTGCGGATATATGCATTTATGAGAATTTTAATTCTCAAAAAACTATGTAATGCACTTAATATAAAAAATAGAAGAAAATATAAGAAATACTTAAAGTATTTAAAAATAGGAATTATTATATCTAGGGGTTGAGACAACCGTCTACTAAGTTCCCATTTCACTGATTTTATTAATAAAAATATAAATTCCATAAAAATCTGCAGTCTACTTATAACACATTCACCAGCAATCATATCTATTCTTTTGAATCCTATTTTTAATTACTTTAGCATCAGGACCTTGTGTATTTCTTCTTCCTTATTTTTTAACAATACCAAAGTACATACGTAGCTTTTTTTTACAAATTGTATGATTTTCGTATGGTAGCTTGAGTTTAAAATAGGAAGCCTGATTTGTTAACACGTTCCTAGCCAAACCGTTTTTGCCGGACAGAGTCATTGAAAAAAGGGAGGTTTCGAACTTTGAATTACGATAGTTTTAATCGCGAAAGAAGATTATTGTAAGACTCTTCTTTACCAAGTTAAAATAGTCTGCATATTGACAACGTTTCAGTCTTAATATTGAAAAAGTATAAATATTAATAAGGTAGACGTAGCCCAATAATGACATTCGAAGTTTGTCACATGATTTCCATTTCAACATTTTAGATGTTGTTTAGCTAAACAATCGTCTCAGTTCGGTTCATATTATTTAACATCACGTTTTCTAACAAAATGCAATAAAGATCGAAACTTAAAAGATACATAAAATGTTAACATAAATAATATTTTTATTCCATATTTCGCATATATACGCATTATGAAAATGGTAGAGACCTCGTGGAGATCCTAATTGAGTTCATAAACGCTGTTTTATAGGAACAATGCAAACAATACAGTGTCAATACCAAAATTACCAATACCTTGAAATTTTTCAATTTGTCTTTTATACACCCTTGTAATTACGAATTAAAAATAAAGAAAATCGAAGTTTTTAAGTATAAACATAACGTGCATTAAACGAGATACAATAACATTTTGGTACGTAACAATATAATATAAATTAGTTGTCAGGCTTAACCTTTAATCTACATATATCGTATTTTGATGCCCCAGCGACTAAATTTAATTTATTTATAATTAATATTATGTTCTATTATTTTGCGTAACCTAAAATAAAAATAATTCTACAAGGAAGTCGTCGTTCTTTATTTTTTCATAATTATGTTTCGAAAATACACGATACAAATTAAGGGTTAAGCAATTTAAAAAAAATTTACATATCCTTTCCCTTATGGAAAATTACACTTAAATATAATCGTGTTTTCTTTATTATTTATTTACTATATTTAATCCTAGCTTAGTAAGTTTAAGATGAGTTCCAATTTACATGTTTACTTTTTCTATTTAGTGAGCTACAATTACCCATGGTTTCTTAACTCTATCCAGTAAAATTGTGTTCTCTTCATTAATTTCTTTACTTTCTTTTTCCTTGATGCGATGCACTATTTGCTTCCACACGAAGCCTGCTCTGATCCTGTGAGATATACATACAGGGTGTTCGGCCACCCCTGGGAAAAATTTTAATGGGGGATTCCAGAGGCCAAAATAAGACAAAAATCAATAATACCAATTTGTTGATTGAGGCTTCGTTAAAAAGTTATTAACGTTTAAAGTTCCGCCTGTAGAACGGCAATCTGCGAACAGATGCGTGCATGCGATAGTAGTTCTCACTCAGCATGAGAAACTCTACTTACTGACTCATCGACAGCGTTACAGTTTTTTGAGTGAGAACCACTATCGCGTGTATGCAGCTGTACACAGATTGCCGTTCTACAGGCGGAATTTTAAACGTTAATAACTTTTTAACGAAGTCTCAATCAACAAATTGGTATTATTAATTTTCGTCTTATTTTTATTTCCAGAATCTCCAATTAAAATTTTTCCCAGGAGTGGACGAACACCCTGTATATCACTGAAAAATATATCATGCATACAACTAGCTCAGCCTTTGAAACGTCTGCTAGGGATTTGCTAGGAATTTTAGGAATTCAAATACACTACGATATTTGTAGTTGGTTCGTTCTAAATTAAATTACGGTTTTCAAATTTCGTCTTCTTATTTTACTTGCCACAATTATACACTGGGAAACGTTCGACGTACATAGGTTCCGACAGTAAGCTGTCCGTTATATGGGAATTCCTATGGCATTATTCAACCATAATTATACGGAGAGGCAAGTAAGACTACACTTATAGCTATTTAACGTTCACCGTATGAAATTTGATTTAATTTTTTGTACATAAGATGCTAAATGACGTAATGTGGTGGTACATAAACCAACTTTTAAAAATTACAATGTTCTTTTTCAACAAGAGGCTCACAATATTGCCTACAGCATGTATAATTGTATAAATTGCTCGATAATTTATTTTCACCGTATATCATCTTTTAACTTTGTATTAACTTAGTAACTATCCGTCTTTAAAGTTTCTTTTTCTTTCAAATGTATGCAAAGGGGAATCAACCCGTCAGATAAAGAATTATTATTATAAATACCCATTATTCGCATCTTCAAAAGATCGCCGTTTGCGTCTCGGTCATTCTAAAGTTTCCAATTGATAAGGGAAGAAACAGACAGGTATAAATGTCGACGATAACTATGAAACACGTTCGTATAGTATAATAGTCTGATGATGACAAAAAATTGTACTGTTTATCGCTATTTATGAATGCAGTACGTAATAGAATCAAATTTTTAAAGATTATTCGGAAAATGGCAATTTTGATAAACGAGTAGAAATAGAAATGTTGGGGAAAAAATAATTTAATCCGGTAGGAAATTCTTCCTATGCGAAATTATATTAAATTATATCATTCCAATTTTGTGTGCATAATTATGTGCGTGTTATGTAACGAATATTGTTTTTATATTTCATTCGATTAATATTTATATAACAACAAAATGTTGCTATACAAGATCTTAAAATAATTTAATAATTTGTGCGACGAAAATTGTTAAATTATTTTAAGATCTTGTATAGCAACTTTTCTAGTACGAATGCTCGTTTTGTCCTATCGGAAAATTATATATAAAAATTTAAAAAAAAACAATAAAGATTGTGACGTAAGATGAGATTCGATATGTATACATTTTTCTTATTTAAAATAATAATTGTTTATTTATAAAATGACGTGAAATGTTACATAATTTATATACAAAAAATAGTCATAATTTGTTCTGTCAATTATGGTCCCATCACAATTGTGCAGATTCAGAAATACATATACATACATAATATACGATTGCTATATTTTACACTTGTGTGTTATTAAAAGTTTTCTATAAACCCTTTAACACAATTTCAGAACTTATTTCTCAGAAGAGTAGTGCTGTTTCATTTTACTATTTCATTTTCTAGATCTCCAATTTTACATCAATTTAGAAAAAGCGAAAAATTTTGTAAGGTCCACAATATTTATACCCATCCAGCTTATTTCACATGAAATTCTCTAAATTTATTCATCAAAATTTTTGACTATTCTGAGAGTCTCTAAGTTCAAAAATGAAAAGGGTATCTCACATTTCTATCACTTCTTTTAGTAGTCACATAGTAGCAGTAGAAAAAATAGAAGTAGAAGCAATAGGAAAGAAAAGTACAGTTTCTATTAATAATTTGAATCTCCGTGGTCAATTCCACGGATTCCAGGATCGAATCAATGCACGTGGTGGCATTCGGTCAGCGGATCCCCGATGAATGACCGCATTGTGGCAAACGATCTCGTTTCTGCCACGTTTGAACGCATCCAGCTGATAGCGTTCATTTGATTAACAGTCCTACAAATTATTACCACAAAACGTTCATCAATTACTTAGAAACTCTGTTTCGTGCAATCTGCGGCTTTCAAAGCCATCCTAGCGTGGATTGCGTGACCGACGTACAGAAATAATAATTGCAACGGGTATAATGATTATCGATCTCTTGTCGGAGGACGAAAATAACATCAGAGATATTTGTGAAATTTATTGCGAGACGGAGTCGTACTAATTACCTTTGATTTTGTAAGAAAACGCAAGGTTAAAGTCAGACTGTCGCGTTTATCGAGGGTAATCGCTGTAATGCCCAGTGGTGTTTAATAAATTAAAAGTTCCATGAATATTGAAGCAGTTGAAATTAAAGGAAATTCTTAACAGTAAGCTTTACGATTTATTTTCAAACAAACTACATATTTAATTAGTCGTAGCATTGTTATGAATAAAATGAATGTAGTTCGATTTTGAATAAGTTTCCCAATATATTTTTAAATGTGGTATCTAAATAAAAATCTACAGCAATTTTTTATTTTATTTCTATATTTGTACTGCATAGAATGTGTAGTATACAGGGTGTTCGGCCACCCCTGGGAAAAATTTTAATGGGAGATTCTAGAGGCCAAAATAAGACGAAAATCAAAAATACTAATTTGTTGATTGAGGCTTCATTAAAAAGTTATTAACAAAATTAAATTAAAAAATTTCAAACAATTTATGGAAAAATTACTTTCGGTTGTGGGAGTAAATTACAATCATTTCTTATCATTACACATATCCCCGAAATCCTAACCATTTTCGAGAAAAAAATTCGAATAGGTGCTGAAATTTTGCGGCGAAATTAAAAGATTTCAAATTGTCCTAAAAAAATTATTTTTGGCTGCAGGGATCAAATACAATCATTTTTGGTGAATACACATACCCCTGAAATCCTAGCCATTTTTGAGAAAAAAATTCATTACCGAAAATATCATTTATGGCCAGAAAAGTCACCCGCAAAATTTCATGCGAATCTTTAAAATGTCATAACTTCTGAACGAATTGAACGATTTTAAAGTTTCAAACGGCAGACAACGCGTATTTTGGTGGAGAATATGTAGAAATTCTAAAAATATTCGAAAAGTTGTTCCTTAACCCCGTAAAATGAGAAAAACACCATAAAACTGGTCCAATATTCAAACGGCCATAACTTCTATAATAGTGAATATATTTCAATGAAATTTTTGTCTAAAGTAGAGCTCATGGGTACCTACAAAAAAGTATTATACAACTTTTCTATAGAAAAACGAATTTTTAAGGAAAATCGACAAGTGTAGATGCCTAAATTCTACAAAAAAAAAATTTCACATCGTCTTGTAAAAATTATTTTCGGTTGCTGGGGTCAATTATAATTATTTTTGGTGAATACATATACCCCCGAAATTCTATCCACTTTCGAGAAAAAAATTTTAGGTGTGAAATTTTTCGGCGAAGAAAAAAATTTCAAATCGTTCTGAAAAAATTATTTTCGGTTGCAGGGGTCAATTAGAATAATTTTTGATGAATAGACATACCTCCAAAATTCTGCACATTTTCTAGAAAAAAATTCAACTTTAAACGTTAATAACTTCTTACCGAAGCCTGGATAAACAGATTGCTATTCTTGACTTTTGTCTTATTTTGGCCTCTAGAATCTCCTATTACAAGTTTTCCCAGGAGTGGCCGAACACCCTGTATAGTGAAATACAAGATTTATATTTAGACATTAGATTCAACGTCATTTAGTTGTTTGGTAGTATTGTTTGCATATTATTTCTTAAAAGAGCGTAATCTATCGAGGTAAGAAACCTTTATATCGTATAAAGTAAAAATTAGTGTAATTTACGACGCAGAATAATCTCCATTGGAGGCTGAAACTGCGTTAAAATAAAAATGAGAAAGACTTAAAATATTTTGTCATTTGTATTCAAGGGGTTAAAGATCGAACATGGCTGGCGGAATTTCGTTTCTAGTTTTCAAAGTCCAAATATATTTAAAAAAAATCTTAGAAGATCGATAAATATATTTCATTTCAATTTCAAACGATCGTTCGCAGATCATGCACCGTGATATAAAACCAGAGAACATTCTTGTGTCGCCCAACGGAGTGATAAAACTCTGCGATTTTGGGTTCGCTCGACTCGTCAGCGGGCCAAACGAATCTTGCACCGATTACGTGGCGACCAGGTGGTATCGATCACCGGAACTGTTGATCGGTGATCCACGATACGGTAAACCAGTGGACATCTGGGCAACAGGCTGCATGTACGCAGAGATGGTGACCGGAACTCCTCTGTTTCCTGGCGACAGCGACGTCGATCAGCTTTACCGAATCACCAAAGTTCTTGGTAAGTAATCTACTTATTTTTTAAAAATCTAGTATCATACAATCGGTGTAGATTATGCACAATTCTAGTTTGGTTTTGATTTAAACTTAAAATTTATAAAAATCAATCTCAGAATTTTGGTCTATGATGTTTTATTTATACTCCAAAAAATGGCAGAAATAGCTATGCATTGCTTTCATTCGTATCGACATACACTCCTGTTCATAAGTCACTAGACACTTAATCAATGTGAAATGAAAACGAATTAACACTGCGACCTCTGTGTATATTATAAAATGAGATTTATTTATTCATTTCGTTGTAAAGGAAACGTAACTCGTATCGTATGCCATGTACGTTTTTTAGTATTCTTTTTATTAATATCATTTATTTCCAACATTTCCGTAATATTTTTCAAGAGTCCATCTTTGATTTTAAACATGTTGATTTTCGAAATTTACTTCCTTGTACAATTTTACTTACGCACGTTTAATTTCATTTTATACTAGCATCATAATATTTACAGTAAAGTAGTAACTTAAATAAAATGACTAAATATAATAAAGTAAGATAATAAGGTAGTTTTAGAAAAAATTGTATCTGTACCTGAATTTTCATTTTCCAAGACGTAGTGCACCTGTGTGAAATAGGTGTTTTAATTTCCTTACAATAAAAATAAATTGAAGTTTAAAAATAACCTGGTTTGTGCTCTTTTAAGTACTATTTCCTGTTGCTTTGAACCCCTAATCGCGAGCAACATGGCAATAAAACCTGTATAATAAAGTATTCCAAATATTTATTTGTGTATAACACGATTTTATCGTTAAATGGATGAAATATGTAAAAGTGCACCTTCTTGGATAGACAATTTTTTAGAAAGGATTGACATTCTAACATTAGACACAAAGGAGGAATGGGTTAAAAAGGGGCTGAGAACTACTGATATACAGCGTCTTCTATCTAAGCTAAAATTATCGAATTGTTTTTTACCACGATTAGAATTATAGCTGTGCCCTCTATTAGCTATAACTTCTCATTTAAGAAATCGTTTGTTGTATTTAAAATAGAAATCTAATCGTCTCGAGGATGTCCTGTTTTGACTAAATTGTATTTCAATTAAGCACGCAATGAAATGTTCACGAATACCGCCAGGAACAAAGGTGACATTACAGATCGATTCGCGTAATTTCCCTAGCAAAGTTTCGTCATTTATTATTCAGTAACGGAGTAGTGGAAGTACAACGAGTGCTTATGCTATTGCGATCAGGGACGCAAAAATAACAGTTACCTTAAAAATTTGTATGAAAAAAAAATGATTAAGAAACAGTTATCTTTTGCTTAAGTTAAAAAATAACAATCGTAAAATTGAAAAAGTAATATTAATTTCTAATACGTCTAGTTATATGGTAATCATTGTTTTTGACACGAACATTTTTTCAGTCGCTTATAATTGTTACTGATAACAAAATTTTGTATTTTATGTTACGATTTATGTCTTATTATTGTAAAATAATACAACTTTTGGTTCAAATTACTAATAACAAATATTAATAATGTGAAATGAATCATAATAAGGAAAAGTAGAATAAAATACAATAGCATTAGTATAATTGTTATAAGCAAGCGAAATAAATGGTCTTCGTCGATAATGATTATCGCCAAATGTAAACCAAATTTCAGTTAATTATAATTGTTATTTGTAAATAGTAGATACAAGAGATCGTGAGATCGAAAGTTTGTGAGAATTTATACTACAAAATTTCAAACAATTACATTTTTCTTACGATGTAATTTCATTCGATAAAAAAAGTAATCATTATTTAATTCTAAAACTAGCTACAAGTTCTTAAGTATCAGAAATATATAAGTTTTGCGATTTTGTTGAGTTTCTTCTTCTTGAATATACTTTGTCATTGTCATTGTTTTTGAAATGCTTATTTGTTAAAAAGTTTGTCATAGACAAAAACAGGTGTTAGTTGCAAAAACAAAAAAATAAAGATTTTTTTAGAAGGCCATAGAAAGGTAAAATTTACCATTCGAGACTTTTATCCTCTTTTATCCGTCGGAAGTTTATTCACATAATTCTTCATTCCTTATGACGAATGGTTTTAAAATGACTTGTCGTCAAAAAAATGCAACATCGAAATGTGGCACGCTTATGGCCGCACGATAGCGCTTGTGGCGCGGGGAATTCCCGTGCTTGTGTATTACTATCGAAACAGTTTTATAAAACATCTCTTCTTCGCTACCTTTGTAATTTCGCTGTATGGTTTATTAGACCTGAATAAATTATATTTTATATTACTATCGGACCACACGAAATAAAATTTAAAACAATGGGAAATTAATTGAAAAAAAACTAGACAGCCTGAACTGATTCGTTCATTCCATTCATATCAATATTGGCACACTGTTTTTCATAAATGATAGTAAAAGGTTGCTTCAAACCTGATAGAATACCGAACCTTTTCCGGTACTTAATAAAAAAATCATTTTAGTAAAAAAAAAGAAAAATTATTTATAATATTTATAAAATTATTTATTTTAGTTATAATTTACTAGATTATAGATTGAGATATACTAATTAAAATAGAGTTACACATAGGATTGAAGTAAAATTACTAAAATTCCCAAACTGTAAGTCAATTGTGGTACCCTTTCTCATTGTCCTATTGACTTCCCCTTTTCCAGGAATTATTTTTCTATCAAGTTGAACAAATCTAGAGGGACGCATATAAAAATTTCGATAATCAAACATAATGTCCATCACAATGGGCAATTATAGCTCACTAGATAGAAAAAGTAAACATGTAAACCGGACGTCATCCTAAGCGTACTAGGCAACGATTAAATAAATAAATAAAAATAATATTTTGGTTATAACTGTAACGTTTAAAAATCTGTGAACCTATAGAGACATTTATCAACTTTCAGGAGGACTGTGCACCAAGCATCAGGCAATAATGGGTTGGAACGGACAAGGCAGAATGTTGCGACACACGAGCGCTGACGAGCTCATAGGGCCTCCTCAGTCCGGTGTCACTTCGATTCGTAAATTGTTCCCCACCTGGGACAGCATAGTGATAGATTTCTTGGCCCAATGTCTTCGAATGGATCCTGACGTACGGCCCAAATGCTCCATGCTGTTGCAACATTCGCTGTTCACGCAAAACGGCTTCGCGGACAAGTTTCTCCGCGAGTTGCAGATCTGCGTCGCCAAGGAATCCGCCATGAACCCTTTGATATTCAAAAGGTCCGAGGAAAGACGATTGAGCATCTTGTCCGTCGAGTCTCCGACAAGGGTTTGTCGCAAAAGCACTGGCAGGTGACTGACTTTCTAAAAGACAATTTCGTGTTCGTTGTTTTATTTTGATGTACAGCAATGATTCTTAAAATGAGCCCCAGATGTGATTCGTAAATTGAATATTTTTATCCTTCTCAACTTGAGGGATTCCCATTGGAGTAAACTGGCATTTCAAAACCATAGTTTATTAGCTCTAGAAACATATTCTTAAAAATATGCTATTTACCACGTTAAATTATTTAATAATTTAATAATATAATGGTAGCTAATGAATGTGTATTATCAGATGCATTAAATTCTGTCCGAATTAAAATAAATAATTACCATAAAGTTGTTCCAATGTTATATAATTTATACACTTTTACTAATACATATTTATGGATTTTCTGGGAAAGAAATATTGTTTTAATCCTTTCGAGAAGGAATGTACGAACGATGGTACAGTTCATTGCGTAAATGTCCAAATAGCTTATTTAAATTGCTGTGTATAAACATCTGCTGGCGTCGAAATTCGCTTCCATTGTAGGAAAAATGAACATCTCAAGGTTAAAGCGACGTTCATTTTAAGAATCATTACTGTTCACTCGATGACATTATACGTGAAATACCATATCGTTTAAACGACCACCACACTGCATATAGTGGAGTGAATTTGCGATGATCCTGATAAATAAATCAAGCTGTACCATACCAATAACACGAATGATGTTTGCTTTGAAATCGTCAATAATTTGTGGTTTGTTGGAACAAACGAGAGACTTAAAAATTCAGATTTAAAAAGAAAATGGTATCCATGACCATGTCAGTCGTTGGTAAAAGTACATTCAAGCAGATGGAAATTATTTTGATTAATAAAAATAAACAGTTTAAAATTTTCTTCGTTTCGTATGCACCGATCTGATAATTAGAGCACGATTTGTTTCGTTTCCTTTTCGGTGTACAGAGCTTTAATGGAGAATTGCTTTCAGATGGCAGATGACCGTAGCGAAAGACAGATCGACCAGCGACAAAGTCGTATCGGAACAGATCGAGGACGAAGTGACGACGCATCGACCATCACCGGTGCAGATCACCCGTCCAAGAGAGGTTTGTTATTTCGGGCCCGTTTCCGTCGTGCCAAACACGACCTACATTCGGAGGCTGGAGCACAAAGGGTTGCTTCCAGCTGGGTCAAAGGGTTGCACGTTACCCTTTCTCGCGTCTAAAGACCACGGGAACGCAAGCACTACCGGGAAGAGGAAGAGAATCGATTTTCCAAGCATGGATCGCTAGAGGAAAAACGACACACGTTATAGGCAAGTGTTTTCATTTAATTCGTTAGCATCGTGCGGTTGTACGCGGTGGTTAAAACGGACCCGAAAATAACTGTTTCAAACTGTTATACAGGGTGTTCGGCAACCCGTGGGAAAAATTTTAGTGAGAGATTCTGGAGGTCAAAATAAGACGAAAATCAAGAATACCAATTTGTTGATTGAGGCTATGTTAAAAAGTTATTAACGTTTGAAGTTCCAGACTGACCGGAAAATTTTTCAGCGAAATTAAAAAATTTCAAACCATTCTGAAAAAATTATTTTTGGTTGCGGGGGTCAATTACAATCATTTTTGGTGAATACGCATAGCCCCGAAATCCTACGCACTTTCGAGAAAAAAATTGGTGTAGGGGGGCAAATTTTATTAATAATTTTTAAAAATAATTTTATTAATAACTTTTTAACGAAACCTCAATCAACAAATTGTTATTCTTGATTTTCGTCTTATTTAGGCTTCTAGAATCTCTCATTAAAATTTTTCCCAGGGGTGACCGAACACCCTGTATACAGGGTGAGTTTTCTAAGACTGACAATGAGACCAATTATTTTCAAAACTGCAGATTGTATTGAAAAAGGCTTCAGAGAAAACTTGAATGGCTTCGAAACGGTTGTTATTCGATGTATTTAGTACTCTTGTTTTCTTGGGTGAAGCCATACATTTTTTAATACACTCATCGATTTAGCTTCTTATTCTCTATAAGAAAGTATAAAGCTAGTTGTACCGAAAAACTTTTACTTTAGGAGATATTTTAATTAAAATATTGCAGAGTACTGATAAAACTGCAGCCATGTTTTTTTTTTGTTTTAATTACCTGCGATATTTGTTTCTAGAAAATGATATAGACTAGGGAGTAGGATTTATCTGTAGTATTTTTATGTATTATTAATTTTACTACAGATAATCTTTTGTATAACAATTCAAGTAAAATGTAATACATAACTTAACAATGTCTGCATTATCGATGGAATTCTGATTGCAGTGTCTTTCGCTCCATCATATTTAGATTAAAATGTCTCTTAAAGTAAAGGTTTTTCAGTACAACTGACTTTATACTTTCAAAAAATATATGACTTCATTTAAAAAACAAACTTGACTAAATACATCAAATAACGACCATCTCGAAATTATACAAATTTTATCTGAAACCTTTTTCAATATAACCAGCAGTTTCGAAAATATTTCAACTTCCAGTCCTAGGCAACTCACCCTGCAAGTATAGTACAATTATGTATATCGGTTCTGAATTAAAAACAATCGTGAGCATAGAAATGAATAAAATTACATTCAGTTTGTGCATTTGATGCAGTTTTATTTTGTCTTATGACTTTTTTTTGTATCTCTAACCGTTTTAGAGATATAGCGTTTTCAAATTGTAATCAAAATTAAGAATACAAGATACGACAAAAATTAGTATGTGTCCTGTATACAATGTGCTAATATTTTCACAAATTCAATATGAATTAGAACAACGACCGTATTAAAATAAACCAAATAATCCAGAACCAATATATCCATAACAGTTATAACACAATTTCGGTTCTCATAACTGTTTCAAAAATTGAAACCGATATTGTAACTGTTTACAACCCCTAGTCGTACTACGCAAATCGAGGCTATAATATTTATCGATTGCTTATTAATTTTTATGTAATTTAATTACACACTGTGGATTTGTTGTATACAGGAATTTATCAAATAACAACGAAAGTTCCTGTGCATCTGCTTGGTGAAATTTCTAGTATAGGAATGAATTTCTTTCGTAAGAGTGTACATACATAATAAGTCATCTAGTACAATTGTAATTTACTTTATATTTATATATTATTAATAAATGTATGTCGAATAATTGCTTCTATCGTTTTTTGAATTTATGGATTTTAGTATTTAAGCTTGTAGACTCCATTGTTGAAGCGGTTCCGATGTCCTGTATTTATCTAGTAAGTACCACAAGTTACCTCGCTTTGCACACGTCGAGAACTATGTGTAATAATTACATGTACAAACAAGTATGGAGAAACAATGAATGAACAAACTGGCAAAGGATGCTAAATGATATCAAACTGTAGAATTGAATACTTAATCAGTGTACAGTCCTTTTACGCAAACATCAATTATTTGAGCACATGTTCGTACATATACATATATGTGTATATACGTATATATCGGTGTTTCATGAGAATGAATCGAACCATAAGTTTTATTCAAACTATTTTCAATTATGCATTAAACGAATCATGCCTGAATATTCTATAAGTCAAAATCTTACACAACGAAATAAATTGTTTCTCGTGATATAATAATGAAAAATAAAATTCATCGTACAATGCATTTTCGTGTTACATGAATTAAGGGACTCCATAGTACAGATGAGATATACGAGTAAACCTTACACCCTATGAACTTTCGTGGCCCCACAGACGAGATATATGAATAGACCTTTCATCTTATGGACTTTCGTGGCCCAATCTGACTGCCATACCGACCTGAAAATTCGAAGGTGATTTTAGCGTCCTCTTCTCACGGATGGCGGTCAGTTGAGGAACTATCCACTGAATTAGTATTGATGGGCAGCCAGCTGTAGTGTGTGCGTAAATACATGTGAGTTCACTATGAAAGGGATTCAAAAACACAATTTTTAAACGACAATAACTCCTACAATAGTGAATGTATTTCATTGAACTTTATTTCGAAAGTAGAGCTCATAGATATCTACAAAAAAGTATTAGCACAGACGAGGTATACGAGTAGTATACAATGTATTTTTTCGGCCCATTTTTCTGGGGCTCTAGAGCCCTATTACCATTTCCGTGTCACTCGCAACGTTACCAACGACCAAATTGCAGAAATTTTATTATTTTTTAACGGAATGAAAGCTGTACGGTCCATGATTGGACATCAATCGATTAAGATTATTTAAAGATTTCAAGATTATTAAAATACCTAAGGATGTATCTCATTGATAGGTATACCGCAAATCCTCTGTTTTTTTATTTTAAATTGTAATACATCATTTATTTATGTAACTCAAAATCATGATGTGACTCGAAATCAGTGTTATCAGACCGCGCATCGGGGGCTCCAGGAACTCCTCATTCCACTTTCGCAAACTGTGCCCAAATGCGTGTACGTGAGCTCGTACAGTTTCGGAGAGCCGAGAAGAACAGGCTGATTCTCGCATTCTTTCTCACTCTTACTTCGCTGACGTCGCTTACATTTCTCGAAAGCAGACCAGAGATGCCAGATTAAGCACCGGGTGCACTACTCACACTATGCCAGATCACGCGTACGTGAGCTCGTAGAGTTTCGAAAAATCGACAAAGTCGACAAAGGCAAACTGACATGATGCTCTCTTCCTCGATTCTCCGAAGCTACACAAAGTCATTTCGGACTGCCTCGTGGGAGTCGAGAAAGAAAGGCTCACATTTGCCTTCTCGCTCTTGAATAACTGAAATCCGACCTCCTGTCAACGGCATACGAATTGGAATCTCGAGTCGAGACTCTCGACTGCCCAGGCATCTTTACTTTCCGATCTATGTATGTAGACGCACATAAGCAAAGTACCCATAATGAAAACAAAATTTTGTGACATTTTTTTTACGGAAACACACGTTTTAAAACTCCCTGATCGTATTTTAACTATTGAAAAAAAAGAAATTTTTTTTTAATTATTCCTATGTATGAACGTACATATGTATATTATTTCAGATATCACTTCTGATATATCTGGCAATGTATAACCATTACCACTGGCTACTGCCAGCTTCTCCAAGCCTCTACTGGCTTCTGCTGGCTTCTGCTGGCTTCTGCTGACCCACGCTTATATTTCTGACAACGTATAACGATTACTACTGACTTCTGCATGCCTCCGCTGGCCTCTGCTGACCGCTGCTAACCATTCCTGATACTTCTGACAACGTATAACGATTACAACTTGCTACTGCTGGTCTCTACTGGCCTCTGCTGACCACTGCTGACCATCCCTGATGCTTCGGACAACGTACAACGATTACTACTTGTTACTGCTTGCCCCTGCTGGTCTCTGTATGTCTCCGTATCCCTCTGCTGACCTCTGCTGGCCCCTGCTGACCACTGCTGACCCTTGTTGATAACTTCTGACATGATGTATATGTATTAAAGCTTTGTATAATGTAAATATATGACAATAAATGATATAACTTTAAAGAATTCTATGTGTTCTCATCTTTTTTTACATTTCTTTCCCTCTCCAAATCATTCCTTTAGTTATAAGATACCTTGCCCCCTCACCGCAAGGCCGCCAACATTTTGGACAAATTCCAGACACTTTGGAAATCCGGATTTGGCCTTGACCTTGACCTTGACTCAATTTCAAGGCCAAGGCCACTCGAATTTTAGAAAAATTTCGCGCACTTTGGAAATCCGGATCTGGCTTTGACCTTGACCCAATTTCAAGACCAAGGCCACTTGAATTTTAGAAAAATTCCACGCACTTTGGAAATCCGGATTTGGCCTTGACCTTGATCTTGACTCAATTTCAAGGCCAAGGCTACTCGAATGTTAGAAAAATTCTGGGCACTTTGGAAGTCCGGATGGCCTTGACCCAATTTCGAAAGTGGGTCAAGGTCAAGGCCAAGGTCATTTGAATTTTAGAAAAATCTCGGGTACTTCGAAAATCCGGGTTTCCTTGATCCAATTTCGAAAGTGGGTCAAGGTCAAGGTCAATATCAAGGCCATTTGAATTTTAGAAAAATCTCGGACACTATGGAAATCCGGATGGCCTTGACCCATTTTCGAAAAAGGGTCACGGTCACCAGCATTTTGGAAATGTTCTGGGCACTTTGGGATTCCAGCTTTAACTGGAGAAACAGTTTCTTATAACTAGGGGAATGATTTGGAGAGGAAAAGAAAGGTAAATATGATGAGAACATATAGAATTCTTTGAAATTTGATCATTTATTGTCATAGATTTACATTATACAAAGCTTTAATACATATACATCATGTCAGAAGTTATCAACAAGGGTCAGCAGTGGTCAGCAGTGGTCAGCAGGGGCCAGCAGAGGT